ACTCCTAGAGCGTGTCCTGTATTGTCAAGTCCAAGCAGGAAAACACAATGAGCATCTGAGAATGGTGATGGATATACTTTTTTCGGGGCGGGGGGGTTGATAATGGAATTTAACCTCGGAACGTTGTCCTGCTAACTCTAAAGAAGTAGACCGAAGTAGGCAGTCCTCGTCCTGCCTTGCGAATGGCGGATTTCGGAACATCTGTCGTGTCAATAAATAGATAAGTTGGTTTATTACATTGCTAGCTACCCATTACAAATGGAAGAAAACTATCTTTAAATCTTGTTTGCCATTTCAAACGATGTCGAAAAATTAGGAACGGTGAGGATAGTTACCTTTAAGAAGCTTCCATGCAATACGCTGCGAAAAATAGTGGACCGAAATTCTTTCCAAGATGCGTCTCGTTGTGACGACCGTAGTCTGATGATATCCAAATAAAGTGATCAATGAACTTGATTTCAAATGTTATAAGAAATATCCATTATAGAAACAGATGAAAAAAGAAGACATTGCAGAACAAAAGGTTCCAGAATAATCAAGGCAACAAAGTAGTTTCGATAGAGATATTGCACCCGGAAGCTGGTTGCTCGAGTCCTGAACGAAAAATTTTACCATTTTTCGAACATTTAACTCGAGCGTAAGCCATGAAATACAAGACTGTAACGACCCAGATCCACCGCTAACAGATATTGTCCTCTTTGGACTTTTCCTTTCGGGCTTCCCCTTAAGGCTTTAAAACGCGTTTGCTAGGGGAAGGTTTCCACACCCTTATAAAGGGTGTTTTGTTCTCCTCCCCAACAACTGTGGGACATCACAATCCACCCCCTTCAGGGCCAGTGTCCTCGCTGGCACTTGTTCTTTTCTCCAATCGATTGTGGGACCGCCACCAAATCCACCCCCCCTTTGGGGCCTAGCGTCCTTACTGGCACACCGTCTCGTGTCTATCCCCCTTCAAGGAACAACGAGAAGGCTGACACATCATTCGGTGTCTGGCTCTGATACTATTTGTAACGTCCAGATCCACCGCTAGCAGATATTGTCCTCTTTGGACTTTCCCTTTCGGGCTTCTCCTCAAGGCTTTAAAACGCGTTTGTTAGGGGACGGTTTCCACACCTTTATAAAGGGAGTTTTGTTCTCTTCCCCAACCAATGTGAGACATCACAAAGACAGAATTTCAATATCGATTACGCTTATCGTTTAATCAATAGCCAGAAAGAAGATAGTATTTCAGTACATGACAAATAAGTGGGGTTAACACGATGCAATTTCGAGCGTTTGACGAGGAATGGGCTGATAGGCGAAATAATATGAAAATTCAGGATGCTATAAACAGTAACTTCCGCTCAGAGATCAAGCAGTTTTCACTAATGAAGTATCACTTAGTTCATGGAACACATAGGTGACATTCTATCCTCAGAGACATAAGACCAATACGTAACTCTACAACCGTTTAACCCCACAACGAAGGCAGGCAGTAAGCAAACTACTGAGTTGTGAGGTGCCACATCGGTTGGAGAGGGGAACCAAGCATTCCTTAATAAGGGTGTGGAAACCTCTCCCTAGTATACGCGTTTTAAAACATCGAAGGGAAGCCCAAAGAGTACGATATCTGGTAACGGTGGATTTGGGTTGTTACATGAACGATATCAAGTATGGTTTCGGACCTAACCATACGGAGGGAAAAACAACTCGACAAGTTTTAAAAATTATTTGGAAGACTTCATAAAAGCTTTTACTCAAGGCAGACCAAAACACAGGTCAATTAAAAAGAAAAAAAAAACATACTTTTAGATCAGCTAAAGAACAAGTATTTGGTTGAAGAAAAAAACGGAGAATGGGTAATTCAACAAACCTCGCGAACGATTTGCTTGATCGACTTTTTAAAGGGAGAAACTAGATCAACTTGCTGCTCTTCTTGAGCGTCGTTGAAGAAGTCCTCATCGTCCTCGTCTTCCAACTTTGCACGGGGCTCCAAAAGAGGCAAATAAAACATCAGAAACGACCTCAACGTTGTCATACCGAGCATCCTCCATTGAAAAGCAGAGAATAATGGCTTTAACTCAATGTTGTACTCCTTTGTAGTGTATTGAAGAGACTCATGCTGAAAGATTTTCCTTGATGCACTCTGTAGATTTGAGAGGTAGTCCTCGGTCACGTCCACACCGGCATCACAATGAGCAATTGGAATCCGGTTACTGTCGTAGCACGACCAATCATGTTAAGTAACCAACCATAGGTAAATCATAGTATAAACTGACTAGAAAGATGCAATTTCATGTAAGCGAAATCCTGATGATGGTAAATCTAAGAACGCTTGCAGATTTCACGTATTCAGTTTTCGAGAGTCTATCATCCATCATATGAAGCTCAAAACTCGTTCACTTGAGAATTGGATTAAAATCTAATCCAGTTCCGAGAGTTATTAAGTTGTTAATCATTTGTATTTTTTACAGAAACATCATAAAACTTCATTAAAACCGCCAAAATATGAACAACTTAGAGGCCGAGGTAGAGGACCCTGTTAGAAATCACGAATCTCCACAATGGTATGATATTGTCCACTTTGAGCATAAGCTCTCATGGTTTTGCTTTTGGTTTATCCAAAAGACCTCGTACCAATGGAGATGTAATTCATTACTTATAAACCCACGATCAACTCCTTAATTAACCGATGGGGAAACTCCTCACCCAACAATTCTCCCCTTGAACAAAGTACACCATAGAGCCTCCCCTGAAGCCTATGGAGCCCTCAAACAACCTCCTCTTGATCGAGGCTCGACTCCTTCTCTAGAGTCATCGAACAAAGTACATCATTTGTTCTGACACTTGAGTCACTTTTGACTACACCTCCAAGGCTCACAACTTTTTTGTTCGACATTTGAGGATTCTATTGACATGTCTAAGTTAAAGGCATGGTTCTGATACCATGTTAGGAATCACGAATCTCCACAATAGTATGATATCGTCCACTTTGAGCATAAGCTCTCATGGTTTTGCTTTTGGTTTCCCCAAAAGGCCTCATACCAATGGAGACGTATTCGTTACTTATAAACCCACAATCAACCCCTTAATTAACCGATGCGGGGACTCCTCTCCCAACAGACCCCGTCAAGGAACTACATGATAAGCTCTTTCCAATTGATAATAATCATCAAAAGGCTAGAGTTACAAAAGAATTTCAAATATGAAGATAACTATCATACTTCACCATAAAGAACATGATCTAGATGCAAATTTGAATAAAACAACCCATCCCAAATCATGTAAACTGAAAACAGATAATGAAAAATCAAACACAAACACGTTCTCAAACAAATAAACAATGATTAACAACTGATTACCAACGATTTGCACAAACAGAATCAGCTCATCTCAAATTCCAAGAAGAACAAATGAAGAACTCTATCGTTTCATCAAAACTACAAATCTCAACAGACGAATCCAATTCAAAGAAACAACCAGCAGATAAAAGTGAATTTAAAAAAAGAAAAATAATCCGATCATCTCGATAACGAAGAAATCAAACTCAAGACAAGAACATCGAAACCATTGACGCATCAACACATACCCTAAGAAAGCTCTGAAGGCAAAAGGGGTTCCGGCAGCGGCAGCGGCGGCGGAGAAAGCCCCATAAGAGTGGAAGCTTTGCGGTGCGTTGACGGCCGGATTTTTCCGTAATAGATCCATAACAATAGCAAGACCCGCCATTGTTGAACTGAGTTTAGAAATCCAGAGAGGAAAAGTTGATCAAATACGAAACGGATTTGATGTTACGGCTGTTGGATAGAGATTCTTGGGCTGAGTGTGAGCAACAAGCAGAGAAACCCAAGATCCAAAAATCGCTTTTTAATGAGAAAAAATCAGCTCGCCCATGTTTACTAGCACAAGGAAACTCACTCTGCACCCATTCATCTTTTGTAAATTCCCAATATATATATATATATATATATATATATATATATATATAATTTTATATTTTATCTAAAAAAAATTATCTTTTAATAATATCTAAAAAAGAAAAAAAAAGTACACTTTATTTAAAATTTTAATAATATTTAAATAATATTCTTAAATTGAAAAATTTTCATTAATACTCTTCCACTAAAAAGATTAAAAAATACTTATATTGTCCATATTATATTAAATATATATATATATATAAATTCTTTTTCTTTTTTAAATTAATAAAAATACCTATAAATTTTATATTTTATCTAAAAAAAATAATCTTTTAATTTTTAAAAATTTTAATAATAAATTTAGTCTAAAAAAACACTTTATTTAAAAAATATTCTTAAATTTAAAAATTTTCATTAATACTCTTCTACTAAAAAAAAATACTATATTGTCGGTATTATAGTAAATAAAAACCTATAAAATTTTAAAAGTAGAAGAAATACATTTGAAAATCATTTAAAGAATTGAAGAAAATAACGTTATATGACTACAAGCAAATAAAGAAATATCACAGCTTAAATAACATATAACAAGAAGTGATGACTAGTCATATTCTCCTACATTACATTCTTGGACATTTTAGCTATGGCGGGTATAGACATGGTTTTGGTGAATGGTCATATATCCTCATATTGACCCAACGTGAAACGACCTATCTAGGTTGAAAGCATGCAAAAGTGGTTTGGAACGGGCATTTAACCATAGACAACACGTCCTTGACAAGCAAGAATGGGACATCTATCGTGTAGTCATAGGCAACACGTACTTGGACAAACATGACCGTGACATCCTCGTTGCTCAGTAGAAAAAGTTGGAAGAAAATTGTGCTGTCCTCTTTTATTTTTCTTATTAAGAAAGAAAAATGTAATAATTTTATTTAGTTTATTTTGAGTTGGTTTTTTAAATAAATGGAGTGAAAATAAATATTAATAATTAAGAAAGGGTATATAATAATTGATATAATTATGATATAAATTGAATTTTCCCCAAATATTAAAAAAAAAAAAAAAAACATTATAGTTGAAGTTAAATATATAAAGCGCGTCTATGAACTTCATAAATCCCTCCAATAGTTTCGAAATGCGTCCCAAACCTGGCCGATCCTTATCAGGATTTCTTGCCGTCGAGCCAATTCCCGATCATGGTGAAACAATTCTCTTCTTCCAAGTTTCAATGCCGATTCGAGTTCCAAATGATCCTTAATCTGCTTGGAATATGCTTTCGAATCAACAGATTCCGATTTCAGTTCTGTCTGTAATTACGGTGAATCTGATTTGTTAAGTTTCGCGTGCTTAATCGCTTGTTTAAGTTCCCGAATTTTACCTTTCTTAGTATGGATGTGAGCGATATTAACAAAGTTTGGGAAATTAAAGCCTTGAAGAAGAAGGCTGGAGAGAAAGAAGCAAAGGAGATGCTGGAGAGAATTGCCAAACAAGTCCAACCCATTATGCGTAGGCACAAATGGCGAGTCAAGGTTCTTTCGGAGTTCTGGTAAATGTTATTTAAAAGTCGCAGTATCTTTTCTCTTGGTAGGTTGAAATTTCAACCATGTTGTTCATTATAATGGAAGGATTGTAATTTTTTTGTTGTTGATTTTCCTCTTGAATTCTATGTTTATCATATTTTACATTGTTCTCGGTGGATCTGACGAAATGAAAATTCGAAATGAAAATGCTGAAGATGTTAATTTTCATTTTATTAGTTTTTGTTGCAAGGAATGATGAAAAGAGAAATTTGTTTAACCAAATCAAACTGCCCAAAATGTTCATTCTTGGTTTATCCCTGTGCTTTTTAATCTTGTGATTGGTAAGGGGAAACAATGAATTTCCTACTGTTGTTGCTCTATTCTTGATGTATTCAAATATTCTGGTGTCTATTTCTTCCTGCATTATGATTTGTTGATAAATTTGCAGCCCAAAAAATCCAGCACTTTTAGGGGTAAATGTGGGACGTGGAATTCATGTGAAGTTGAGGCTTCGAAGGCCAAATAGGGATGGAGATTTCTTCCCCTTCAATCAAGTGTTGGATACAATGCTACATGAGCTTTGCCACAATCTCCATGGCCCTCACAATGCCAATTTCTTCAAGCTTTGGGATGGGCTTAGAAAGGTTTCTGGTTGGCGCTTATTATAACCCTATTGCATGCCAATTGATTGACATAATTATGGTTAAAGCAATTGGCCTGATCAGAGACTAAAGTAGTGGCATTGTCTTTTTGATATTTATTATTAACTGCTGCAAGGAGGAGGAATCGTCTAATTTTGTACTTAGACTAGATTTTGCTGCTTTTAGTTCTTTGCGTTTCATAATTGCTCATCATGTTTTACTGCCTGACTGAATTTTTTTTTTCCATTTACAACTCATGGGCATATGTTTCACTTAAGAGAACGTTCATCAGTGTAATCCCATGTTTGTATTGTTCTATTTTATTCTTGGAAATTTACATTTTGATTGGACATTTCCTCTTATCATGCATCCCATTTGATGGTTTTTGTAAAATGAAGGAATGTGAGGAGTTGATGGCTAAGGGAATTAGTGGTACAGCACAGGGATTTGATATCCCGGGGAGACGTTTGGGTGGTAATATGCATCAATCCCCTCTTTCTTCCCTTCGCAAATCTTCCCTAGTTGCTGCAGAAGGAAGAAGACGTTTGAGATCTCTACTTCCATCTGGGCCTAAATGGCTTGGTGGTGATAGCGACATCATGGTCGCACTAAGTCCTGTACAAGCAGCTGCAATGGCTGCAGAAAGGAGGCTTCAGGATGATATTTGGTGCGCTTCATCTCAAGCAATGCCTGTGGATGAGGATTGCTGCTCTGATTTTCCATCAGAAGCGGCGCTTCCCCCCCAAGCAGGTGAATCAGGGCCGTTTAGCAATCCAAGTCAGGGTGTGGATGCATTACACCATAAAAGATGTCGTGAGTCAGAAAGGAGTTCTATTAAGTCATCCAATGGTCACCTGAAACCCGATTTTGTTGATTTATCCAAAGATAATGTAATCCCTGGTTCCTCTGCTGGCTATGATGCCGAATCAAATAAGCGTCATAAAATGACATATAGAGTTCCATTTCCTCAATCTTGTGCAGAAACTACCTCAATAGATCTTCCCTGTTGATCCTCTAATTTGATGCCAATTCATGATGGAACTACTCATCCTGGAGAACTTTCCATGTGGGAGTGTGGAAATTGCACCTTACTGAATCCAGTATGTGTTCTGAACTTCATTGATTCATATATTTGATTACTATATGAACATCATCGTTGCACAATCTCTATACTTTTCCTCAATGCATGCTTGGACTGGAGTGAGAATTGTAAAAATTAGCACCATAGATTAGTCCTTTAATTTAACTTCACATTGCTACATATAAAAATGTACATATTTACCTTAAAGTATCATTATGGGCACGTTTATTATATATCGTCCTGCCAAGCTTCTCACTGTTTGTTTTTTCCATGCCAATGTTCATTGTCATGCAGCCACTAGCTTCAATATGTGAGCTCTGTTTCTCACCGAAGCCAAAAGCTGCTGATACCAAATACAAATTCTGGTCGTGTAAATTCTGCACCTTAGAAAACAGTGTGAAGTTGGAGAAATGCTCAGCCTGTGGTCAATGGAGATATTCTCATGGCCAACGAGTGTCAACTCGAGGACCAAATATTGGCACGTGAGAGGCTTTTGATGTATGCTTGTAAGGCTTCTAAACTTCATTATAAGTTAGCTGATTGCTAAGAAAATTAAGCTGCTGCATCTCTTGCCTTTTGACATTTGGGATGCTTCTGCCATTTTCCGTCCAAGAGACTAGCCATTTCTTCAAGCATGCTTTTTATGAAGTTTTGAACCCCTTGCTCATATTCATGTAAATTGTCTTCCTCCCATAATGCAGTGAAGTTTGAGGTCTTCTTCATTCCTTTGGTTCGAACTTAATATATAGTCAGAATATGGTATTGCCTTAGAAGAGTCTGAGGAATCTTATGAGTCAATCTAAGAAACTTTTTGTCATCCACTAGGAATGTGAGTTCCCACATTGATTGGGGAGGAGAACGAAACACCCTTTATAAGGGTGTGGAAACATCTCCCTAGCAGACATATTTTAAAAACTTTGAGGAGAATCCCAAAAGGGAAAGCTCAAATTGAACAATATCTACTAGCGATGAGCTTGGGCCCATTTTTAGAGCTTTGTAGAGAATTGTTCTATTGTGAGAAATTTTTTCTCATGAATACTAACTCTTTCAGTCTTTCTTTCCAGCCGGATGAATTAATGCAATCAATGGAACTCAGCATTGTATTAAAAGAATTAGCAAGCTAGTCAAATCAAATCAAGACCCCTCTCTAGATATATATATATATATGCTAGTCATAGTTTTATATCGATCATATACTCTCAAGGCATGCATGATTTTGATCATTGAAACATTGAAAAAGCATTAATCCATAATATTGATCGAAGTGTTGTTGTAAACTGATTTCTCTGCAATAAATAATCAATCCAATAATTCAATTCATGCCCCTATTATTTAAGTTTGTTTACAATAAAGTAAGCAAAAAAGGAAGTAGATAACCACTAGAAAGAATTATAAAATGTTCTAAACATAGACGCTTGTTTCTAAATACTCTTTGGCGTTGATGTAATTGTTGCTACATTTTTGTTTGTTATTCCATCATTGGAACTCAACATGATGGTTGTTCTATATATGTTTTTTTGTATTGGAAGTGTCAAAAGTTGATATTCTTTGTGTTATATCTCATCATAGGTTAAGCCATTGTTCTCCATTGATGAAGTTCCTATCTACGTAAGGTCTCACTTCCTCGGAGGTGAAAGTCCTTGCCCATGGCACCCAACCTTTTGTGTTAGCTCCGCTGCCCCTGCATCTATATTGCCCAAAAACTGCTGTCCTGTGTGTGGATAACAATTGAAAAATTCTATTAGGTTAGCTTGATTCAAGAGGTGGAGGGATATTTATAATTCTTATATAGAGTGTTCGGGTCAACCTATGCCCACCTCGGTTAATCTCACAGGATGTGTGTGTATGTGTCGGGGGTCGGGGGGTTGTTATTATAGGTATACTTTGCCTTTTACCTTTGTCTTATAACAATATTAGCTTGATTCAAGAGGTGGATGGATATTTATAATTCTTGCAAGTGTTCGGGTCAACTTACACCCACCTCGGTTAATCTCACGGGATGTGTGTGTATGTGTCGGGGGGGTCATTATGGTAAGTATACTTTGTCTTGATAAGAATTGAAAATTTCTATTAGATGAGCTTGATTCAAGAGGTGGAGGGATATTTATAATCCTTGTGAGTGTTCGGGTCAACTTACGCCCACCTCGGTTAATGTCATGGTATGTGTGTGTATGTGTCGGGGGGTCGTTATTGTAAGTATATTTGCCTTACCTTTGTCTTGATGGGTCGCTCCAGTCGCTCCATCCTAACGGACTTATCATATCTTCAATATAACAGTAAGAATATATTGTTCTTGAATAGGTCCCCCATGCTCTTCCCAGGAGTACTCTGCCACTTCCATTAATCACGCAGCGCACGAAAGAGAACCCGGTGTCATCGTCCGGCGAGCTCCGATGATGCGCTGCTATAGCTCCAAAGGTCTCCGCCGTGGAAGTTATCACACATTGCTGGTTTTCAAGAGAAAAAAACAGACAAACATCAGCCGACAAGTTCAAAACTCGAAAGGTATCAACTACGTGTCTAGTAACGAGACTCGTTACCTCATAGAGCGATCTAGCCGTACCAAATATGAAATCAATAGTCCCTTGAATGTGACATTGATAGAAATAGTGTGTGCCCATATCATCCAAAAGTGTATCTTGTTGTCCCAAGAACTTGACTCTATAAAACATAGCCTTCTCTCCTGAAATCCTTAGAGCCACAGCTTGTCTTCCCTTATCTCCAGGCGCTGAAACAACTGTGTTCTACAAACCAAACCACATTGAACTTACAAAACTCAGTAACTTCATACTTAATACTCTTATCTTTGTTTATCTTCGTTTATGTTGCTAACCTCGAATGTGATTCCTGATGCACAGAAGTAGTCGGAGTCGATTGCAACCGTCGCTGTTCTATATGTCCCGAGCTCGAGTCCGCTGACATCTTTGTCGGAAGCTTTGCTGTTCGACGTAATTACAGTGTCTGTCATTCGTTTCCTGTTTCCTATCAATGAAATATATGGCTTGGTGATGGGTATGTATACCTTCTCTCTGCAAGTTCATATTACAATACACTTTAGTTCATCATCAAATCTTGGTTTTGTAGATCAATTCAAAACAATATATATTTCTTTAAAAAAAATTTAGAGATTTATTATATACATATACATACACATACACACACATATATGTATATGTATATATACATTCCGAAGAAAAGAAAACCCGATTAATTTCATAGAACTTTAATTTTTTATGGGTGATATCTAATATGCTTATAGTAACATTAATTTTGGTATTTTTTAAATTTCTCGATTTTGCTAAATATAAATTTATTTTAAAGTTTAGGGTTTATTAGATGTAAAAATTATTATTTTTTTATATGTAGTAGGTCAATTAATTATTTAAAAATCGAGATTTATTAAACATAAGATTGAAATTTTGGATATTTTTTTAAAAAAATATTTTGGAATATATTAGATATTTTTTTTAAAAAAATAAGAGCCTAAATCGACACAAACCTAGGATTTTTCTACCGTAATTTTCATCTATCTTAAGAAAAGATTTTGAATTTAAGGCCAAAATCTCAAAAATAAAATCTAATTTTGAAAGCTTTCAATGAATTGAACTAATGATCGAGATACAACATACGGTGCTGCCTACGATCTTGAAACAAATTGATTGTGTGTCATTTGTAACGTCCATGAATGACGGTTCATTAATGTCCATTAGTTTAGACCTCTTCCCCATTCCTAACTACGAATAAGATCAAGATCACGACCACGACACGACGAACGTTTTAAAAACATTCCTAGGAAGGATGAAACAATACAATAAAAGAAGTTACCTGTAAATGCCAGGACGAATATAAATCTTAACTCTGAGATTATTATTATGAGGAACCAAATCCACCGCCCCTTGCACGGTGGTGGAGTCGCCGGAGGAGGTTTTATCCACCACAATGATTCTAGTTCGAGTTCCATTCTGAACCCCGCCGCCATGCACACCGGAGCTGAGCCCCTGGCGCGACGGAACATCCACACGCAAGTCATCCCAACTGATAGCATACCTATCACCACCTCCAGCAGCAAGAACAGCAGCAGCAGGAGCAGCAGCGGCACGGGCGGAGGCGGGATCGGAGGGACCGAAGAGGAGAAGAAGAAGAAGGAGAGGGAGGGTGGTCATGGTGGGGAAAAAGAATGGTTTTTTTTGGGAGAGGAGGAGGAGGAGGAGGAGGAGTTAAAAGGGTGTGGAGGGAAGGAGGAGGAGGTTTAAAAGATGGAAGATTAAAAGAGTTTTTGAGTGAGGTTTTAATTATGGAAGGGATTGTCTTTGCATGGGAGAGAGAAGAAAAGGCGAAGGGTTTGTGTTTTGAGTAATCAATGAGTTTGGGAGTTTTGAAATTTAACTTCCCACCAGACCCACTACTTTGTGTGTTGTGTTTTTTTTTTTTACAAACCACTCTCTCTTTTTATATACACAAACACCCACTTCACACACACAGATATCAGAGAGAGAGATTATAGAGAGATAGATTCAGAGAGAGAGAGAGATTATAAAGAGAGAGAGATTCAGAGATTATAGAGAGAGATATACATATATCAGAGAGAGATTATAAAGAGAGAGTTTATAAAGAGAGATTATAAAGAGAGAGTTTATAAAGAGAGAGATTATAGAGAGATAGATTCAGAGAGAGAGATTATAGAGAGATAGATTCCGAGAGAGAGAGATTATAAAGAGAGAGAGATTATAAAGAGAGAGAGATTCAGAGAGAGAGATTATAAAGAGAGAGATTATAAAGAGAGAGATTATAGAGAGATAGATTCAGAGAGAGAGATTATAGAGAGAGAGATTATAGAGAGATAGATTCCGAGAGAGAGATTATAAAGAGAGAGATTATAAAGAGAGAGAGATTCAGAGAGAGAGAGATTATAAAGAGAGAGAGAGAGAGATTATAAAGAGAGAGAGATTCAGAGAGAGAGAGAGATATATATATATATCAGAGAGAGATTATAAAGAGAGATTATAAAGGGAGAGAGATTATAAAGAGAGAGAGATATATAAAACCCATTTCAGAGAGAGAGATTATAAAGAGAGATATATATGAGAGAGAGGGAGAGAGAGAGAGAGGAGCAAGGGAGAGAGATTATAAAGAGTGAGGAGAGAGAAGAGAAGAGGAGAGAGAGATCATAGAGAGTGAGAAGAGGGAGGAGAGAGAAGTTAGAGAGAGAGAGAGTGAGGAGAGAGAAGATGAGAGAAGAGGAGATATTATAGAGAGTGAAGAGAGAGATCATAGAGAGTGAGGAGAGAGAGACGATAGAGAGTTGAGTTATGAGTTCTTATGAGTTATGAGTTTGGGGCGTTCCAAACACTTAAGTGAGGTTATTAAGTATACAATTTGTTTAATTTATGAAATTATTAAAACCCGTTACAATAAACTTAAATGTTCGGTGTTCTAAGTCTTCAGCTCTTTACTCTATTTCCATATAACGTTCTTAAATTGAAATCTAGAAACTGGGCATTTACGACACTCAATATAGTTATGAAGACACAATTATTTAATCCGTATTTTAAGTGTTCAATTGTTTAATCCGTTTAGGTTAAGGAGGTTTCCATTACGATATACCGTTCATTAGCTTGAATTTTGAAATTTTGTGCTCGAGTTTTTAAGTGGGCGTCTCGAAACACTAAATGAATTTTTTTAAATATGCAATTATTTAGTCCATGAAAATAATTATTCTAATAAAATATACTTATTTTTAATTTAATAAAGATTTAAACCTAAATTATAGAGAATGAGAAGAGAGAAGGGAGAGAGTTCGAGAATTTTATATTCCAATTCCTCCCGATACTTTACAAAGAAAATTTTAAATAGAATCCAAAATTGATGGTTAGTGTGAGTTTATCCGTGTCGGTTATCCACTCTTCGAATAGAAATCCATTTCCTAAAAAATTATGGCTTTCGTGTTTTGGTGGGTCTCCGAGATCCTTTCAACGATCTATGTTACGTTAAATAGATATTATATTATCCAACTGTTGCGTAAAATCCACAGTAGCAATGGAACCGAGAAAAGTATATATCTATCTATATATATATTTCAAAGGTTTTTAGAGTTATGAGTTCGGGAGTTGTTAGTTCTTTTTTTATAGATTTGTTTGAGTCGTGTGTTCAAGCTCGGTTGTTTAGTTTAAATCTAAAAAATCGGTGTTTGAAGTACAAAGTTGTTTAACATGAAAAATCTATCCGTCATTTCTAAACATAGAACCTAAACGAGTAATTCAGAAAGTGTATTACGGTAGAGAGTTAGAGAGTTTAACATTCCAATTCATTCCCGACATCTTTCAAGGAAAATCCCAAATTGAACTCAAAATTGATGGTTAGTGTGAGCTTATCCGTGCAGTTATCCACTCTTCAAGTAGGAATCCATTTTCAAAATAAATTCTGACTTTCGTGCTTCGGTGGGTCTCCGAGATCCTTTCAATGAGACCTATGTTATGCGAAAAGGATACTTATACAAATCGATTGGTTGCTTAAAACTCGTGCTTTAATGGGTCTTCGAGATCCTTTTCGTAACCTATGTTATGTTAAAGAGGTATTTATACGATTGGTTGCATAAAATCCACAACATCAACGACACCAGAGAAAGTACATAGAGTTTCTGAAAATCAGTGCTCCAGGTACAAAGTCATTTAACGTGTAGTTTTGAAGGACAAAAATCTATTAGGTATTTCTAAACGTTCAAGGACTAAACTGCAAAATCTCAAAGTTTAGGGACTAAACGTGAAATACAACGAAAATACAACTTTATAATCATCTTTCAATAGTATCTTGTTACATCACTAAGATAGTAATACTCTCAACTAAATCTGCACTCAATTCTGTACATATTAAGTCATCAACTATTTACAAAGCAGAGCACAAGCATCTACACCTTCCATATCCATGTCCTCTCCTTCTTCTTCCTCTCGGTTCGGTTCAGACGTTTCCATGGAATCCATTTCCGATTTAACGCCATTGCTACGTTCATCGTTTTCCTCCTCACTATCACAGCTGTTCAAATCACGGGTACTGTTTTTCGTGTCAGCTACATCATCATCGTCCTCACTCCGGTTGTCTTCGTCCGACGATACTTGCTTCTGCTCGTCGTTTGCTTCACGAAGCTTTTCGAGACTAGCTAACGCAGTTTCCTCGAGTGTCTCTTCCTCCTCCTTTACGTGGCTAGGATTAGTGTCGGTGTTAATGTCGACGCACGACATGGCTACATGAATAGCAGACTTGGAATGTTTATTGTCAGATATAGTTGAAAGTATAGAAGGTTTGGTGTCGATGTTAATCCAGTGGCCTCCTAACCAGTCTCTAGATATTCGAAGATTGGTTCGATGAATGTTTAAGAATAAGCTTTCACCTGTTGACAGTAATGGAGGTTTTTAGGTAACGATCGATGGACGGGAAGAATGACTTTGACGTTTTCGATAAGAGTACCTGGAAAGTAGACGAGCACGTTGTCGTTGCCTGAAACATCTAGGCCAGTAACGACTCCTTCCCACCAGCCATCGCTCCACCATGCGTCAACTGCGACACCGATATCAAGAGTGAGCTCTGTTTTCTCTTGTGGGACTGGTCTTGTGATTAGGCGACCCGGGTGCCTCATGCCGAGTTTGTCGGGTAGAGCAACTTTACAAGCAGGGACCCATTCCTATAAGCAGAAAAACTTGTGAGTTGTCGCTTGCTTTTATAAGTGAAATACAGCAGATGCACGAGAATCACGTTTAAAAGTGTAAAATCGAGAACGAATGAACTCGTGGCAGTAGCTAAGAGTGTTGCATTGAAACTCACCTCAAGGTTGCCATAGCCATCTTCATCTTGCAGATCATCATATTGTACTCGAATCTGTTTCGATGATGCATACAAAACCGTACACCTGAACCAGCAGCCTCGAATGCCACTATCTTGACACAGCAATTCGATCTTCTCGTTAACCTCGTACGCTGGGTTGTTATCGTCCAAAACATGTCTATGTGAAAGAAACCTCGTGCCTAGAAAGCTGTAATTATGGTTCTGGCAAGATTTATAGGTCAACATATGTTGATGACTACCCGACTTTCGAACTTTTGAATTTGCGAACTCAAAATTTCGACATCCTTTAGCATTTCTCATCCTTTTAACTTGCGGTCTAACACTATTTTCTGGGTCCAAATCTTCATCGTCCTCCTCAGTCAAGCTATCGAAGACGGGCTCGGATTTTGATAATACACTGAGACTCAGACAAGAGAAGACTGGCTGATCGAAATAGCCACGCAATTTACTCAGGTCGAAGGATTTTAATCGGTTACTTTTGAACTGTCTATAGCAAAGATGAACTTTGGAAAGTGCATCATGAGGAAAGGCATTCACACATTTTTCGTAATGTTCACGATTCAAGACTGTTGCAGAACCATCGACACACTCGACACTGATGGCCTGCACATACGGTGTGATGAAAACTTCTCTCGGGTGAGAGTTTCGCAACGTGATCACACCTTTCACCTCTTGACTACGATGAAACCACCTCACTTTCACCTTTTTCTGACCCCTCTTATCTTCGTACATGTCTTCCAGATAAGCAAGGTAGTGGTTGTCTACCTTAGCCATGACATAAACAAAAGATTGTACCTGAATAGCATTGATGAGGGGGAAGGGAAGAATTTAGTGATTGGATAATGATGGTAATAGCAGCATGCACGGTCTCAAATAATCCAAATACCAACACACCCCAAACCCACCGCTAGTAGATATTGTCCACTTTGGCCTATTACGTATCGTCATCAGCCTCGCGATTTTAAAACGCGTCTGCTAGGGAAAGGTTTCCACACCCTAATACAGGAATGCTTCGTTCCCTCTCCAACTAATGTGGAATCTCACAATCCACCCCCTTTGAGGGATCAGCATCCTCACTGGCACACCACTCGGTGACTAGCTCTAATACCATTTGTAACAGCCCAAGCCCATCGCTAGTAGATATTGTCCGCTTTGGCCCGTTACGTATCGCCGTCGGCCTCACAGTTTTAAGACGCACTTGCGAGAGAGAAGTTTCCACACCCTTATAAGGAATGCTTCGTTCCCCCCTCCAACTAGTGTGGGATCTCACAATCCACCCTCCTCGCTGGCACACCACCCAGGACTGGCTCTGATACCATTTGTAATAACCCAAGCCAACCCCTAGTAGATATTGTCCGTTTTGGCCCGCTACATATCGTTGTCAGCCTCACAGTTTTAAAACGCGTCTACTAGGGAGAGGTTTCCACACCCTTATAAGGAATGCTTCGTTCCCCTCTCTAACCAATGTGGGATCTCACACTAACAGTCCATTCACCCACAATTTACAGGTATCATGGAAAGAAATGCACAGAGAAAGAAATCATTCAATATTGATATACCGTTGCTCACATAAATGGGATAATATATGAGGATACGGAGATTTAAATCACATTAATCGACCATGTCGACACTATATCCTTTAGAGAGTAGGTCTCACCATGATTGAAGTCCCATTCCTGCAAAACGATGGGTAATGCTTGAGTCGTTTACCGCAAGTCCATGCAGCACCCGACCATACAATATCTGATGCAAGTCCCTTGGAATTCCTCGATGGGCGAACCTACGTCGAGATCAAACTGAGGGATGAATGCCCAAAAATGTTTGAATATAAACAATGGAAGAAAAGGAAGTTAGCTTATCATCTGGTACCTTGGATTGTGGAACAACTACTCCACTATGTGAAAATTGAAGCGATCCCAGGGCTTGTATTGCATCAAATTTACAAGGCTCTGCATAAAAAAAACTTTGTCAAGATGCCAATAATAACATTTAAAGAGAAACTTCGAAGCCTAAAATGGCTTTAAAGCGGACAAAATCCTACAAACCAGAATGATCCCGAGGCGAATGCTGCTTAGATAGCATAGAAGTAAGCCAATCCACGACCTCTCTCCTCGATCTCCATTTGAAACCGGTATGAACAGAACTTTCCTTCCCATGAGCTTGCAAAAACTCATCAGCAACAACATAAAACATGTGTCTAACACTCCTCTCAGTCCCCACAACTGCAAGAATCGACTCTCCACCCGAATCCTTCAAAAAATAATGAACGACACGGTTTCCTCGTTCTTGCGAAACAAATTGCTCCTTCCATTCCACAAAGTAGTTCCCATGTCCCATCATTTTGGCCAATAAAACAATCAACAACAAGAACTTAAATTCAAATCAAATGCTAACGACATCGGCACGAGTCCATGAAATCGGCCAATGGATGCAGAATCGTTCATCCCAATAACTACTGTATGATATCAACCTGTTCTTGAATGTTGCCCACCAGTCCATCAAGATTACCCGCAATTTCTCAGCCCAAACGGGTAGATCTCAGGAAAAACAGGGCATATGATCCAAGAGAGAGTAACCTAAAGAATCCTAGAACTTAGATGTATCATAGCAAGATCAGAAGCTAAACCCACAGCCAAAACAAAACCCTAAATTAGAACAATCTTCAAACATCCAATTCCAACAAGCTTTTAGAAGATCATAAACCCTAAAATCCGCACAAATTCCCTCAATTATTGAACAACAATCGCAGGAACAAAGAAGAACGTTCACCACGAATTGAGCAGAGCCCACAAACGCAAAAGGAACTGATTGCAACTAGAAAACAACAAACAGTGGCAAATCCTTTCGACTAATTACGCAGAGAGAGAAATCCAGAGAAAACTTACGCAGGGAGCTGAAGAAGCCAGGGAGAAATCTCCAATTTCGAGGCCGAAAACGGAAGATTAACGAAATGGGAAGAATTAAAAGTTGCCCCAACTTTTCAATGGAAAGAAAGAGAGCTCAGAAACGCCATGGACATGGGAAGGATGAGAGCTTCAGAGGAGTTGATGAGAGGGAGGTGAAGAGTAGGAGGAGGGCGGGCGGAGACGAGGGGAGTGGCCGCAGAAAAGTATGGATACTGAGAAAAGCCTAAGAGTGCCCAAGAGTTGGGTCCAACAACCGAGGAAGATGGTCCTTTGGATCAAATGGGCCGCCATAGTTGCTTCTACAGAAATCTCTGTTCATTTTGTACGTGATATTGTCTTGTGTTGGACCAACCTCACACCAAGCGGATATTATCTTTTTTAGTCTTTCGTTTTCGAGTTTTTCTTTCTAATCGATGTGGGATCTCACAATTCATCCTTTCGTGGCCCAGCGTTCTCGCTGACACACTATCCCAAGAGTGCTTTGTTCCCCTTTCCAACCGATAGGACTTTCCTTTTCGAGTTTCCCTCTTTAATCGATGTGGGATCTCACAATCCGTCCTCGATGACACACTGCCTTTGTTCCCATTTCCAACCGATAGGGCTTTCCTTTTCGAGTTTCCCTCTTCAACCAATGTGAGATCTCACAATCCACCCCATTGGGTGCAAGCGTCCTCGCTGACACATTGCCTCAAGAATGCTTTGTTCCCCTTTCCAACCGATATGAGATCTCATAATCTACCCCTTAGAGACCTAGTGTCCTCACTGACACACCGCTCGATGTCGGGCTCTAATACTATTTGTAACGACTCAAGCCCACCGCTAGTAAATATTGTCCTTTTTGGGCTTTCCCTTTCGGGCTTCCCTAAAGGTTTCTAGAACATGTTTACTATAGAGAAGTTTTCACACCTTTATAAAAAATGTTTTGTTCTCCTCTCCCACGAATGTGGAATCTCACATTGTCTCTTATAGAGCTTGGAGTCTTTCTGATTTTTCTCCTTTTGAGATTTTTACACATAAACCATAAAAATGAATGATTTAGTTTGCTTCGTTCATGATTATGTGAGTTTTGGCTCGTTATGAACCACTCGAGTTTTGCCCTTTGAGCTTAGATTTTAGATTTGAATTTCGAGATGCATGCGAATGTCCGAGTACACTACAAAATTAAAAATTCAAAGACTTGTTAAAGCTTTTAAAAGTTAAATAACGAAATAAATAAAAATTCCCAAACTACCCCTCACGTATGAGATTTATTACAAGTATGTCCCTAAACTTTTAATTTGATATGTCGCTTAAATTTTTCATATTAATAAGACAATATTTTAATCCTTTCACGGTTGTTGATGTCATGACCCTTCAATTTACGACATGTCAGTATTTTAATCTTTTAATCCCAATCAAAATTTGATATCGACTTTATTGGTAGCAAACAGTTCAACAATTCAACTAGGTTTTCCATTTTCATATGATCTAATAATTTGACTAACTCGGACTACCCTACCCAAACTATAAAGGTTGGGTTGAGTTAGAATTTTTTTGGCTGGGTTAACTTTTTGAAAAACAGATTAAAAATATTTAACGTTTATAATTGATATTAGTAATGTGTTGTGACTTGTAAATGTTTGATATTTAAATTTTATAAGATTTTAGTCAGTAATATACTATATATTATGGATTCCTAACATCTTTTTTAAAAAATAATAATAATAAAAAGCAACCAACTCAACTCGGGTAGATTGGGTTGTGGATTTTATTCAAATGGCTAGGGTAAGCAAACCATCCAACGTGAAATTTCGGGTTAGGCTCAGGTAACCAAGCCAATCAACGTGAAATTTTGGTTAGGCTCAGGTAACCTAACCAACCAACGTGAAATTTCAGGTTAGGCTCATGTAACCAAACCAACCAATGTGAAATTTCGGGGTAGGGTCGGTGTAAATTAAGAATGTACAAATTTAATACATAGTTTACATGGAGCTTTTAGTTTTGTAACCCGCAGGTGTCATTATCAATAATTTCGTACCACTAACTCCAAATCCTCAAAAATGCCGTTTCTATTTTGCCACGTCGGCGTTTTTCAGTTTCGTTTCGCGCCAACCGCATTTTTCCCAACCGTGACACGTCAGCCTCCAAACGACGTCGTTTTTCTTTTCCATAAAAAAAAAAAAAAAATTCCAACCAGAGATATTCTTGTCTCTCTGTTTAGGGTTTTTCGGTATATTCTCTCTCTCTCTCTCTCTCTCTCTCTCTCTCTCTCTCTCTCTCTCTTATCCTTTTTTGTTATCTGTTCAAAAATGGCTTCTCTCTTCCTCTTCTCTTTCTCTCCCACAATTCACTCTGATTTTCCCTCTTCTTCCGATTTCTATCCGTCCACTCAATTCTTGTACAGTTCTTCGACCTCAGCCTGTAAGTTTCATGGAGTTGGGATTGCTAGTCGGAGGAGGAGGAGGAGGAGCGTGCATCGGTTTTTGGTCCGGTCGACTCACTCCAATGCTAGGATTCTCAAGCCCAAACGGAGGTCGAGGTTCGGTCAGAATTTATCGCCGTTTGACAGCGATGATGATGGAGAGGATGTGGATGACCTTAGCAGTGATGAGGATGATGATGATGATGATGATGATGATGATACTTGGTTGTATAATGTGAGTTCTTGTTTTCTGTTCTCTCTAATTTCTTGAAGTTAGATTGTTTTCGTGGTTGTTCTTATCTTAGTGTGTCTGCTGATTGATTGAATGCGGGTTTGTTTTCCGTAGAAATGGCGTGGAGTTGTGATTTTGTTTAATTTTCATTATTTGTTCCAATTTCCGACGAGGTTGGATTGATTTTTCTTGTGATGGGAAACTTGACTGTTCATTGATGAGTGAGGAGTAGAAATGAGGAGGATACAAAAAGAATTAAAAGAAGTATTTGAAACTGTGCTTATGCTGGGTAGAAATTACATAGTTCTGGCCATGAACAACCAAATGAGCTCCATGAAGTTTTATATCTGGTTTTAATTGAGTAATGCAAAGAGTGCACTTGGTAAGTTAGAGGAAATTGTAGCTTTATTTTTCATGTAATTGCTTCCATGTCTGTTGCTATAATACCCCAAACCCACCGCTAGTACCCCAAACCCACCACTAGTAGATATTGTCAGTTTTGGCCCGTTACATATCTTTGTCAGCCTCACGGTCTTAAAACGTGTCTACGAGAGAGTTTAGTCCTACTACGACCAGTGTCTTGCACCATCCGATGACTGACTTTGATACCGTTTGTAATAGCCAAGTCGTTCTCCTCTCTAGATGCGTTTTAAAACCTTGAGGGAAAGCTCAGAAGGGAAAGCCTAAAGAGGACAATATCTGCTAGCGGTGGGCTTGGGTTGTTTCAGTTGCACTCTTTTAAAGTGGATTTGGTGGCTTTTTTTGTTCATAGTTCTTTGCTTGTGTGCAGTTGATCATTGAGAATCTCACTATTTACTATCTGTCCACTGAGATTTTCATTTTCTAGGGTAATGTCTCGGATGTTGAATATGATACCAAAAGAAAGAGAGCCAAGTTGCAAAACAGAACCAGAAATAGCAACTCACAGAGAGGTTATCTTTTGCTATTTACTTTCTCCTTCTCGTAAGGCGGCGCGCACGATTTGCTCAGCATACTCTTCTTGTGCAGATAACTTGAGACATCCCAGAGAAAGTAGGGGTATTAGATCATCCAACCGCTTTGATTTACAAGATATCACAAATGATACTGAAAACCAAGACGACACGATTGAGGAGGAAGCTGGTTCTACCAACGTCGACAAGCAAGGAAAGGTGGAGTTTGAAACTTTATTAAACTTTTTAGATTGCTAAAATAAATATTAAATCTGCGTTTGTTTCCATTGATTCAGTTGATGACCAAGGAAGCTATGGAAAATAGATTTCCTCGTCTGGCAGAAGAAATAGAATTGGACAAGAAATGGTATCCTCTACTCGATTATCTTACAACATTTGGGCTCAAAGAATCACATTTCCTTCAAATGTATGAGAGACGTATGCCTTCTCTTCAAATAAATGTTAATTCTGCTCAAGAAAGACTAGAATACTTGTTGAGTGTCGGTGTGAAACAGAGGGATGTTCGAAGAATACTCATGAGGCAGCCCCAAATTCTGGAGTACACAGTAGAGAATAATTTGAAATCTCATGTTGCTTTCTTACTTAGTTTGGGAATCCCAAATTCCAGAGTGGGGCAGATCATTGCTGCTGCTCCATCTCTATTTTCTTATAGTGTTGAGAATTCGTTAAAACCCACCGTCCGATACTTGGTCGAGGAAGTCGGCATTAAGGAAAAGGATTTGGGTAAAGTTGTGCAGCTGAGTCCTCAGATCCTGGTTCAACGGATTGATGTATCATGGAACACCAGATATATGTTTCTTTCAAAGGAAATTGGAGCCCCTCGTGATAATGTAGTGAAGATGGTAACTAAACATCCTCAACTCCTCCACTACAGCATCGATGATGGATTGCTGCCCCGGATCAATTTCCTTAGAAGTATTGGAATGCGAAATTCGGAGATCTTGAAAGTCATAACTAGCCTTACACAGGTATTTTGCATTTGTATTATTGTTGTCAACATCTTTTGAGAAGAAAAAAAAAACCCCTTTTTGTGTTAAAGCCGTTAGGAACCACGACCCTCCCCAATGGTATGACATTCTCCACTTTGAGCATAAATTCTTGTGGCATTGCTTTTGATTTCTCCAAAAAGTCTCATACCAATGGAGATGTATTCCTTACTTATGAACCCACGATCATCCTCTTAATTAACCAATGTGGACTCCTTTCCAACAATCCTCAACAATCCTCCCCTCGAACAAAGTACACTTTAAAGCTTCCCCTGAGGCCTATAGAGCCCTCGAACAGTCTCCCCTTAACTGAGGCTCGACTCCTTTCTCTGGAGCCCTCGAATAAAGTACACCCTTTGTTCGACACTTGAGTCACTTTTTTACTACACCTTCAAGACTCATAACTTCTTTGTTCGAGGATTCTATTGACATGACTAAGTTAAGGGCATGACTCTAATACCATGTTAGGAACCACGGCCCTCCACAATGGTATGACATTGTCCACTTTGAGTATAAGCTCTCATGGTTTTGCTTTTGGTTTTCTCAAACAGTCTGATACCAATGGAGATATATTCCTTACTTATAAACCTATGATCATTCTCTTAATTAGCCAACGTGGGACTCCTTCCCAACCATCTTCAACAAAAGCCTTCCATACCCAACTCTTTCTTTTTCTGGCTGTAAGAAGTG